GAGAGAGGGGGGGGGGGGGGGGAACAGCTGATAGGGAGGGGCAAGAAATGGGCTTTCTTTCTTTTTTTAAAAAGATGACCAGTAAGGGGATCTTAACCCTTGACTTGGTGTTGTCAGCACCACGCTCACCCAGTGAGCGAACCGGCCATCCCTATATGGGATCCGAACCCGGGGCCTTGATGTTATCAGCACCGCACTCTCCCGAGTGAGCCACGGGCCAGCCCGGAATGGGCTTTCTGAGGCCTCTTCACACCTAAGAGGATATGAGATGGGGCTGCAGAATGAAGGATGGAAGTTAGACAGCCAGAGAGCTTTTCTAATGGGGATGAAGGGACAAAGATCTAGAGGGGGTCCTGGGTCTCAGGTACGGCTTTATCTTTTTGAAGTCAGAGCCTCATTGTCAAAGTGAAACTGCCCATGAGCTCATGGAATAGGGGACCAGTCAGCAGAGGACTGGGGCCTTTCTGACCATCTGCACTCCCCATGCCCTCAGGAGGCCCTGCCTGGGCTCATCTGGGACCTGGGCCAGCAGCTGGGAGACCTGAGCCTGGAATCTGGGGGCCTGGAACAGGAGAGTGGGCGCAGCTCAGGTGAGTATGGATGGGGGTAGGGTCTGTCTGGGAGACACCCCACTCTTTCCCACTGTCCCCTACCTCTCCCTGCCCCGTCTCCTACTTTCCCCACCCCTGATTTTTTCACCAAACCCCGATTGTCTCTCTGTTGCTCCCTGGAATCCAGGCTTCTATGAAGACCCCAGCTCCACAGGAGTCCCAGACTCACCACCCTCGACCTTCTGTGGAGACAGTGGCTTCTCCGGATCTGGCTCCTATGGACGCCTAGGTCCCTCTGAACCCCGGGGTATCTATGCCAGCGAGAGGCCCAAGTCTCTAGGTAAGGTGGACGGGGTTGGGACCCTGAGGCCAACAGGGAAAGGACAGTAAGAAGATAGTTTTGAGCATACACTTCTGAGTTGGGCCTGAATTCCAATTCTGGCTGTGAATTCCCTTTTCCTGTGATTTTGAGCATGTCTCTTCTTTCTGGGCCTCCTTTTCTCCTTCAGTTAAAATGAGATAATAACAGTGCCTGCCTCATAGGGATGTTTTGAATATTCGGTGAACTCTGCACTAGGGCATCGGACTCCCCCATAGTAGTCACTCGGTAAACAGGAATGCTGTTACTCATTTATACAAGTTTTTGAGGCCCTATTATGTGCTATCCTAGCACTATCCTAGGCGTGAGGGATATAGCAATGAACAAAATAGACAAATTCCTGTCCTCGTGGAACTGACATTCTAGTTGGAGAAATACATAATATAAAAGATAAAGGAGTACAATATATAGGGTACTAGATATTAACATGTGCTACGACAAGAAATAAACCAGGGAAAGGGACTAGGGAGTGTCCCTTTGAGTTTGGGGAGGGAATTACAGTTTTAGAAAATGACCATGGAGGGCCTCACTGAGACTGTGACATTTGAGTGGCACACCCTGATGTAACTGAGGGACTGGGCCAAGCAGATATCTTGGGGGTGGGGGGGGAATAGCTGTGCAGGAAGCAGTAATGGCAAGTACAAAGGTCCTGAGGCAGGAGTGTGACTGGCGTGTGCAGCCAGGAGGTCAGTGTGGCTGAGACCTATGTAGGGGAGAAGGATAAGAGATGGAGGTTAGAGAGGCAGAGGCGGGACAAATCACGCAGGGTCTTGGAGGCCCCTGTGAAGATTTTGTTACGAACCTCGCAGGAAGGGTGAAAGCAGGGGTTTGGATGTGGTGACAGTGGAACGGAGCGAGGCAACCCGCCCCTCCCAGGCTGGATGAGAAAGGACTTTGAGACCTGCTCTACTCTCTTCCTTTTCTTGCCTCCCTCCCCTAGGAGATGCCAGTCCTAGCGCTCCGGAGGCTGTGGGCGCTCGGGCAGCGGTGCCGCGGTCCTTCTCGGCGCCCTACCCGACGGCAGCGGGGTCTGCGGGCCCGGAGGCCTGCTCCTCGGC